ATATATTGATTGATTGAAACCATAATCATAGGTTATTTCCCTATTCTTTTCATCCACCTAGTTTGTTGCTTTAAAAATTCGAGGGCTTTTTAATTTCAAATTGCGATAATTAATTCAGCGAAATTACTATTATAGATTTAATTATTGGAGCAGAAGTGCGTCTTATCAAAATTCCTTACTGGTAGATAATATTAGTGATAAGAAAGAAGAAATTAAATATTCTTGATGTTTAAGTTCGTTTATACTTATTGAAATTAATTTGTATCATCAATATTTTTAGTGATAAAAATGGCACAATATAAAATATGTTTGAAGTGTTTATGTGGAATGGATCTTTATGTGTTTCGATAGGATGTGTTTAAATATTTTTATAGTGAATGAGGAATTTTTCTTTTCTTTCAGAAATGTCAACCAGAAAAGTACGAACAAAAATTCGTTGTAAGACAGCAGAAGAAACGGACTGCCAAGTTGCAGCATCGGGTTCAGGTGGTCAAACAAAAGTAATCGAATACTTCCGGACCATTCATCGTGATCCAACCAAAAAATTTAAACGTCTTAAGGTATTTGCCGATAACGATGAAGTTAGTGGATTATGAACATAAATTTCTTTCTAGAATAAGATATTATTGTTCAAAATCAGATTATTGGACTATAAAATCAGATACTGATAGGTTTCCTTTGTTGTTTAGTGTGATTAATAGAGAGCAATAAAAGACCAATGGGTAGGTGTGGAGAATTCGAAAAAATTTCCCTATTAGCTCTCAAATGTTGTTCAGCTATATCAGTTATATTTCGGAGCATTTTCTTTAGCTAGAATGTTTTCTTTGCTTTTTTTTTCACTTACATACAGTTCTATAGTATATTCCCTGCTACAAAATGATCATTACATCTTCTTCGACAACCTTAAGGTGAATTTTGTTTGCATGTTTGCATCTAAACATTAAATTTCCCATTGGAACTGGTTTTTTTTTGCAGACAAAAACTGCTAAGCCTGCTCTGGAATCGCCCAAGAAAGTGGCTCGTTTAAAATCACCACAAACATCTGAAAAGGAAGCTGAAAACAATAGCCAAGAATGGGTTTTGCCAATAACATGTGAAGCACAATTCACTTCGAAGAGTGATAAAACAAAGGAGAATAATAATGGTGATATTGATAAATCTAATTTGGAAGTTGCAAAAAGCAGCAATCTCTCTGCGTGTTCAACAAAGAAAATAACAAAAACTGAGTCTAAAGAGAAACAAGAAGGTGTCTGCGATAAAATTAAGCATGATACGGTGAAAGTTGCTTTTGTGGTGCCTCCTGAAACTGAAACGAGCAAAGCAGATAATACTAATTTGAGGTTAATTTTATTTCTAGAAGTAATTATGTCAATATAATTACTTTGGAACAGTTGCTTTTTTATCTTAGCTACAATCATTTATTATTGACGTGTGAACTCTTATGTTTGGAACATTTTGTTTAATGTAACGGCACCTTTTTTTAAAGATCATTCTTAGGTTGAATCTAAGACCCAGACATCTTTTGCGCTAAGTTGTACTGTATATCTATAAAATTTCGTCGGTATTTTTTGACATTTTCATAATGCAAGTTTTAGCATTCTGCCAAGCGCAGTAAAATTGGTTGAAAGCATCAAAAGCAGTGCAGGATCGAATTTAAGTGATACGCTTCCACTTCCTACAAAATATGAGCGCTTATTGCGCTTGTTCGACTATACAGAAGTGGCAAGTCATTTCTTGAAAAATGTATTTTGGAAAAATAAGCAAATTAAAGGGATATCCTCGGTCAAATGTAAAGCAAGTTTGGCCAAGAGTTTGGAATTTGTAATTTGTGTAATTTGAGTAGTTAGTTAAGAATGTTGAACTTTATTTCGGATTTAAATTTATGCTTTTGCACATTTAAAAATTTTCTTTGTACTTATATTGAGGGCAGAGCATTTGAAAGAAATCTTTCGGTAAATGTTGAACCCAAATTTTTGCATGATGATTCTAACAGTAATGAAAAAAAAATATTTGCTGATTTCAGAATCACGTTTCAATTGGTTTTAGGTTGTTTCTTGGCTTGAGACGCAAGGGAAACGAATTACGCTGAATGAAGTGATGAATAATGTTCAGCGTAAATTAAAAAGGTATTTGATTGATTTGTATATAGAATGTGATGAGAAAAGAAAGAACCATAAATGGTTTCGAGCCAGTTGGATGAATGATATTTGTTTTAGTAACTACGATGAACAGCAGTTCGCAATGATATTGTCAATATACCCTGAATCGTACAACATTCGATGTGAACGACGTTGGATGCCAATTGGTGGCAGACATTGCAGTCTCAAAGAATATGAATATGTGATTGAACCAAATCTTATCAGTGGTGCTGTAATTTCTTTTAAATTTTGAATTATAACAATTGTTTATAATTTTATAGTATTGGGAAAGAATCCAAATTAAAAATAGAAGCAAAACTATCTTTTAGGAAGAGAAAAGTCATCAGGTTTTTATTTATCTTACAGATCTTGTTTTTCCGCAAAAAGAAAACGCAGAAGAAACTGCTTCGTCCAGATCTTCACCTGTCAAATCAACAATGAGTTCGCCTTGCAAAGTTTCACCAATTTCGCTTGACCGGAATCCTATAGCTTCATCATCTAAGAAAGCTACAATAATATCACCGACTAAACCATCTTGTGGATCAAATGTACTTATTATGTAAGTATTACAATTGCATTAAATATTATAAGTCATGAAAAACCAAAACTGTAGAAAAGAAGAAAAGGTAAGATTGTTCTTCTTTTCTATATTTAGTTTATGATGAAATGAAAGTATTGCCAGTGTTATTTTTGTTGTAATTTCGATATAGGTTATCCTGTATAATTACTCTGCAGATGCCCGCCAAAACTAGAGGGTCGTCGTTTACATCGGAAACTGGAATTCAAAAATCGTTTACGCAGGCTGGTAAATATGCAGCATGCTGCTTTTTTGAAGAATGAAGGAAGTGCGTTTTTGATTTGCCTTTCTAATATTTCCTTATTCAGGTTACGTCAGAAGTTTTACGAACGGCGAATTTACAATTGAATTTAGTTCTTGGTATTACTTTATACCATTAATTTATGTTATATCTGTTCTGGTTGCTGTTTCAGTTGAGATTTCTCCCGACGAGCAGCTTCCGAGATATCATCCTGATTTTGACCTTGACGCTGTGGATGACATCAGACCTGCGAAATTGCCTGAAATGCCGAAAGGCGATGCAGGTCAACCTGAGACGATGAGGGAATATTTGAAAGCAGTACCTGATAGCAGTAGTACACTTCCTGACAAGATTAAGGTTGATTTTTACATTTGCTCCTGATTGTATAATAGTGCTTTCCAAAGTAATGATAAGTTCACATTTTTTTAGTGATTTAATATTGAATTACTTCTAGATGGTAATTACGGAACTCAGAAGTCCGGAAAAGGTAGTCGCTGTTGTTGCTGACAAATCCATACCGTTATCGCCAAAGAAATATCATATGGAAACGAAAAATACTTCGAAAACAAGTCTGCTAGAAAGAGTATAGATATCATTATTTCTTGCCACCTTATATGTTTGGAAAATCTTTTTGAAAATTATTAGTTCTAACATTCATAAGAAATTTAAGATTCGAGCCAAAGAACGAGAGCGGAAGCGTCGGGAAATGATGCGAAATCCTGAAATGGAACAAAGAAAAGAAAGATTGGAAAGGATTTCCCGTTCGTTGCTACAATGCATTTGCAGGTAAATTAAATGTACTATTTGTTTATATTTTTCGAATTCCAATGCCGTTGACTATTTAATGTTGTCGTACGGGAAGCATGATCTTTATTCCTATTCACCCCAAGATGAGGAAAAAAGAATAGAGTTGATTTTTACGAGATTTACAGAAATTTTACTGCAAGGCCTTATTATCTTAGAGTAAGCTTAATTTAATGAGGATGTTGCTGTTACATATTTCTATTTTCATTATTCCCAAAAATATGAAGTTGAAAAAAATAGCCATTCAACTATAATGACTCATAATTAAGAAAAGTGTGAAATAGTGCTAATTTAGTCAATTAGTTCATTTCTAAAAAATCATAAAGAAGTGTTTATCATCATTTTTTCATTCTTGTAAATAATCAGTCAAGAGTTAACAAAAAGAGAAATGAATTTTTACGATCTCATGATTTTAGCTACTACAATTTAAAAAAGGTTGGATCAATGAAATTCGTGGAATTAGTCGATAAATTAGCTTTCGGTATTGGCAGTATTTCGAAAGGTGTGAATTTATATTAATTTGATGAATATTCTTAACATAGTTTTTAAAAATAGCTCTTATTGAGTGCAGTAATATTATAGAGCCTTTCATGGCATGACAGATTTATTCTTTTTTATTTCATAATTGAAGTTTTCTTTTAAACCATTTTATAACTGCTGAAACTGTTTTCTTTGTAGTTGAAATTGAAGCAACTGTTAATTTGCTCTGTGAAGTTTGTTCGACATATTTTAAAATGGTCGAAGTACGGGGCGAAAAATACGTTCACTTGAAGGACAATACTTTTTCTGCCATCCGAGATATTATAAATGCAGAGATCAAGAAATGTATTTAGTACAACGAAATTTGAGAGATAAAGTTAACAGAGTGCTGCAAGCAATTTTGAGTTTAGAAATTTCGGTAAAAAAATTTTTGTTATTACTATCAACTGTTTGATTATATCTGGTCGCTCTCTGAACACCTTTTAGCAATCTTTCATACCATCCTTCGCGTTTTCGCGTTCATTGCAGGTATCGTTCATTGTTTAGAGTATACTATTTTTGTCTCCCCTTTACTGCTACTAAAATTATATAGGACGGTAGACTTAGCATAGCATTATACTTTATCTTCTTTAAGTAAGATTTACTACAACGGAACGTAAAAAATATCTAGTTGAAAAGAAGCCATAAAGTTGCATATTTTATTTTCTTACTAACTTATTTGTACAAAAATATCATCTCGAGATTCTCTTCCCAAATGATGAAATAATATTTTATGCAATGCTGAAAAAGATATTAAATGCTGACCTACGAAATTAACGAAGAACGAGAAAAAAATTTTCGAGGTGATACAAATTTATATCATGTATATTGGATAAAAGATGAACACTCAAAACGTTTTGTATCGCGCAATATACGAAATAAGAAGTGATTCTACTGAACAGTAAAGACTGTAAAAGCCGAAATTATAACTGAATGAATGCAGATAAATAAATGTTTAATTATAGATTAAAAGTGCTGCTGAAGATATCACAAATTATAATAAATTCAAGGGATAAAAGAAAATCAATAGTCGATTTCCTTCTGCCTCGAATGAGAATGATAACAAGATAAAAGTTCGTGACAGCGTA